TTTCAGTTAAGAAGGGTTTAACAAAAGCGTCTATGTAGATATAATAGGTGCAGTAAAAATTTAATTTTCCAGGAATTTCATTTTACCTTTTATATAGTGTTGTCTTTAAATTTTTTTTTATCAAATTAGCTACGATATTGATCTTTATCTCAAAAGCTTTTATATAATGAAACGTTTTTTAAAATTTTTTAAACTCTTAATAGACTTACTGACTAAAATGTATGGTGTTGTTATAATTTCCTTTTGGATTTCAATTTCGTTCAATTATCTTCGATGATCGTTTGAAAATAACAAAAAAAAAAGTTGAAAATTTCATTTCGTTTGGAAAATGAGAGCTATTCTTTTAGAATTGAACTATAAGAAGAGATAAATAAGTTAAAACAAGAAATTTCAATGAAATTTTTTTGCAACAAGAAATTGAATCGTTTTACACAAGGTGAGGAGATGATTGTTTAAAATGACAAGATGAGTGTACCACTAAAATTGTAAATTTCTTATTCGTGTCACAATTTTTTTTTATTGAATAATTAATAGGTTTATATTGGAATTTACTTATAAATTGCTAGATCGGCTTTTAAGCTAATTGAAAGCTGAAAGATAATTTATTAAAGGAATCCAGTTATTTTGAAAAGAGAAGATTAACGAAACTGTTATATTAACTGGCATATTATAATTATTGATTTAAGTAAGAACAAAAAAATATAACATACAGGATGATTTAGTAATGAATACAATACGAGTATTAAATGCGCTATCGTTTTGAGAGGACGGTTGAATTTTTTTGTTTTAAAACTTGGTCTTAAGGACTGTACTCGAGATACAAGTATTTCAACTAAATTTAATCATATTTTTCCTTGCTCACGTACATCTAATTATAACTTCAATTTACATAAAGAATTTCGGCATCGAACACCAAGCACAACTATAAAAAATTAATTGTCAACTTTTCAAATATTTGTAATTGAAAAATAATATAGTAAGAACTTATTTCATCAGAACATCGCTTCTTTTCATCAAATTTAACATCATCATCAAATAAGAAAATTCAGCAAATCAAAGAGACAAATCAGCGAGAAAAACTGATTTTTTCAAGAATTTGAATGATCAAATCATAATAGCTCTAATTGCATGATCATATATAGAATGAATAATCTGCTTTTGTGGAATCAAACTTAAAATTAAACTGTCATACATTCACAATCATCTGATAAAGTGTTATATATTAGAAATGCTAAGAATCAGTTTCTATGCCTTCTTCTTTTCAATATTTTCTTCATGATGTTCTTAATTTTATCCTACTTTTCAACTAACACAATATTTTTAGGTTTCCATGTTAAAATTTAAATCTCTATTTTTTTTTTTTTATTTCTTTACACTCATACTTGTTGTTGCAAATATTTTGAAAAGTTTGATTGCACTTCGTATATTCTGTACCTATTCCATATATTTTCTGTCCTATTTAAAAGTGTTTATCTCTATGTTTGTGTGCTTGTAAATATAGAAAAATTCTTTTTTGATTGAAGAATTAACAAGAAAAGAAGAAAAACAAAAAATTTTCGTTTTAAAAGAAATGGGATCATGTAGTTAGAGAAAAACAAGGATTTAACAAGGACATTTTATATTTTTAGCTTTATTTTTTAGTTTTATTTTTATTTTTTACATTTTTTTTTCAAAAACATTTAATTTCAACATTCTTTTTTTTTTTTTTAAGTATTTTCGAAGCTATTTTTATTGTTAAAAGTCATATACTGGCTTTTTTATTTCAAATTGTTTTCTGTTTTTATGTCTTTCTTTTTTTTCTTATAGCATCCTTTCAATATTTAACATGCATTTTGTTTTTGTTTTGTTGTTTTTTTTTCCAACTTAGTAAAGTATCCTTGTAATCGGTAAAGTTTTGCAAGTCTTTTCTTTATTTTTCGTATATGCAGTTCTAAAATGTTAAAAGAGTAAAATGTGTATAAGGAAAAAGGAACGAAATTCGAAAAGAGAACGAACTTTAAGAGTAAAAAATTACATGGAAAGAAAAAGAGAGAGAGACAGAGAGGGAGACAGAGAGGATTGACTAAGAAGGGGAAGGTGGTGGTAAAAAGTAAAAGTTGAGTGCAGAAATTGGACGACAAAAATTTTTTTATTTTTTGTTCCTAAAAATAAAACAAAAAAAAAACACAAAAAAAGAAAATAAATAAAAATGGAAAAATCAAAAGTGAAGGAAATCAGAGAAGAAGAAAATAAAAAGCAATAAAATTCTAATGAGAAAAGTTTTTCATTATTATATTCCTTTTCAATTCATGTGACAACAAATTCCACTGATAATCTCTTCCGTTTCTGGTGTCCTTTACGTTTAGTTTTTTGAATTTTCATTTTTTTTTTTTTGTTTGGTTTTTTTTTTTTTTGTATTTTGTTTTTTAAATTTTTCTGTTAGTTCAATCTAAAGATCTATGATGTGATGTTTTAATCTTATTCAAAGCTCATTCATACTCACTCATTTATTCATTTTACAAAAAAAATTATTCTATTCATTTTGTTACTCTCGTACATACACACACTCATACACAATATTCACAAATCTTATTTAATTTTTTGTCTTATTATCCTTTCAGCGAATAAGTTTAAGAAATAAGAAATTAAAATTTCAACTGTTAAACTTAAACTAATTTAAAAGCAGGGAACAGGGAGGGATTATACCAAAGCACGGATTTAAAATAATTGAAATTATTATTTATGGGTTGTATGTGTTTTTTCGGCGTAAATTTATCAAACTTCTGAAGTGTGTATGTATAAGAATTTGATATTTTTAAAACCCATGAGAAAATAATTTCATTATTTCGTTTTAGTTCTTAAAATAAGTTGCAAAAATGTTTGAGGTCTATATATTTTAGTGGCGAAAAGTTAATTGATCCAGCTTGTTTGCTTAAGTAAGTTATCAGAAATTTTTAAGAAGTTATCGGAATATAAACTTGAAGAGGAACATTCTTAAAATTGTTTCAGTGTATAGATAGTTATTTGACTAAAAATTTTATTATTTTTCCTCTTCCCTTATTCTTTCTAGGAGAAAGAAGGCTTTTAATGTTTTACTTTTGATTATTATGAAAACAAGAATGAATTCTATATTTCTTTTCAAAGTTGTTGTTATAGTTTATTTATTTTTAAAATGTTCAGGTTGTTCAGGTTGTTTGCTTTACTTCTTCAAACATTGAATTTTTAAGTAATAACAGTAGAGTGATAAGTTTTAGCTACTGTTTAAATTCGTTTTACATTCTGAAATGCTTGCCACAATTGTAATCTCCAAGATGTGAAAATGATTTTGAAATTAAACTTAAAATATAAATTAGAAGATACATTTGCGTAATATTAGCACTAGCAGGCTTCCTATAAAAAGATATATCTTTAACTTGAAAATAATAACATGGAACTAAATCCTTGACATTGTTAGACACAATAATTTTATATATTTTATAAAATGTCCTTTAAGTTTATATTTTCCTTTTTATTTTTTATAATATAAGGCAATTTAAAATTCTTGTTGCTACAATAGGACACCAAAAAATGAAAAACGCAAAAAAAAATAGTCATTTCCTAATCGTTGAAGCTTGGTGAAATCAGAAAACTTTTCACCATTACTAAAGCATTAAAAATTTTCCTATTGCTTTTTTTTTTAATTTTAAATTTTTACTTTGATTTTTATAGTGTTTAATATTAAAAAAAAAAAAAATCAAAAACTTTTTCAGTTTAAGAATGGCAACTGACAACATTTGTGTAATGTTAAAAAGTTTTAAATTATTTTTTTATATTTTTTGGTTTTTTAAAAAAAAAATCGCATTTTTGTTCTTTTGTTGAGGCGAAAATTTACGCGGTATTATAATAATATTTTTTGAATTGAGATTCTACGAGTTTCCAAGACTGTATAGAGTTGCTATCATTAAATCTTTATGAAAATCAAATATTTTCAACTTTAAATTGTTGAAGTTTTAATTAAAATCTTATCTATAGAGTGAAATATTTAAAATCCAATATGTGGTTAAGATATTTGGAGGCTTTATTTTTGGATTTCAAAACCAATATAATGGAGAAAATCTGGTTGGAAAATGTTAAAGAGTTTTCTTAAATTTTAAAGAGTTTTAAAGAGTTTTAGCCAGCATAAGCCGGTTATTCTTTGTCAGTATTATAAGTCGGTTCGTAAATTTGGAGGCTTTTCGTTTATGTCGAAGTATAACTTTTTAAACGAGTTAAAAAGCATTTATTAAATAATTTTTTATATTTATAAGAATAAACTTTCAAATATAAGACAAAATAATTTTTAGTTATGAATTATAAATTTAATTTGGCAAGTAACCTAAAAATTTTTATTTGTGGACAGCCTTTGGATTTGAAATCGGTTAAAAGTTTTCTGGTGAAATTTGCATATTATTATTATGGAAGATAATGGTTTAATTATGTGATTATGATTTTGACATGGATGTAGCTCTATGAAAGCATGTAAAGTTTTAAGTTTCATTTATACGAGTATAACAATTTCGATTTGAAAACATCAATCTTTGCTTAATTCAAATTGAAAGATTTCTACTTGAATTTTTTTAATTAATCGAGTATGAAATTATCATTGGGTAGCAGCAAATCAATTGAAGGTGATATTTATTAATGTCGGGTCGCAGTCACCAATTATGAACCGAATATAATCACATTATTTTATTTAAGATGTTATTCTTTCGCAACTTTTTTATTACTAACTTAATTATTATCCTTAATGTACAACATGTAGTATACTAAAATATATTGAGAGAAATGATGTGTTAATATGGTGAATATGGTGTTGTACCGTTATAAAACAAGAGAATTTTTATATTTATTCTTTCGATTAAATTATGTTGAGTTTTTATGTTATAATACCGGGTGTACCATCCTGGTAGATAATGAATGAATAAAAAATATTAAAAAAAAAATTATATTTTATAAAATTTTTTATGCATGTTACATTAATTTAATTTTTTTTCTCATTTCAGGTAAGTTTGAACGAACATTTTGGGAAATTTTCAAATTTCAGTTTTGTGTTAAGTCAAGTGAGTTTTGTTATATGTACATATAATATCCTTTAATATTATTTTGGGAATTTTAAATGTGTTGTACAATAATGCAATTTCCTAATTTTAAAATTGCTTAAAAAGGGTAATGTATACTATAACTATAGGCATAAAATGTGTTCCAATTAGTAGATTGCCAATATCGAATTTGTAGATTGTTTGTATATAGATTAAATTTTACGAATTTGACTACTTATCCATAGACTGAAATTCATCTTAATACATTGCACATTACTAAGTAACTAAGTTTTTTTTAATTATTGGTGTTATATATGAGCAGCAGATTTCTATTCGATTCCTTTAGAAATTTTCATATCAGCTATAAATGAATTAATTTTTGAGCATAGGTCACTAATTATACTAGTTTATGGAATTTTTTATAATACAAATTTTTTTTTTTCCAAAATTTTTAATTATTTTTACGAGTTTTTTATTCCCAATTTTTTTCTTAGGACACTTTATACTGAGAGAACAATACAAATGATCAATTCAATAGAATATTGTTTGTTAGAGAATAATGCAAAAAATTTGAACTCAAAAAATAATGATTTTATATATTTTTATTTCTTTTAAAAATGAATAAAAAAAATTTATATGTATAGCTAGTGAATTATTTGACCTCTATGTTGAAATAAAAATTTTTTATTTTTTAATATAAATTATATACAAGTACATTAAAGAAAATGCAAAAGAATTCCAGAAAATTAAATGCTATTTAGGTCACTGCAGTTTTTTAAGATTTTCTTTTCCATTTTCTTTTGTTTATTTATGGATTTTAAATAAATATAAGATAGGTATACATATATATTTATATGTACATAGATAATATTAGTAAATATAAAAATAATAGAAATATTTGGATGAAAAACGAAGAGAATTTTCTCTTGCAAATTTTTGATATACGTATATAAGTTTTATATTTGAACCTGCAAACATACTTATATATTGTATTGAAAATGAATATCTACACCTATACTTGTATTATGTGTATGTGGTTATGTATATTGTTCTTTTATAAAACTTCCATATTGGATAATATAAGGTTAACGACCATCATTATATAAAAGAGAAAATTGAAAATATTGCTGCAATAGGATTTTTTTTTTTTCGAAATTTCATTTGTCTTTATGATAATTAGGAATTTTAATCTTAATCTAAATTGATTGCAGTGGCTAAAATATTATTAAAATTAAGATTTTTGCCTTTTCTATGATCTATAATTATTAAACAAATTAAATAAATTTTAAAATTGGATTAAAAATAGTTTTGAAAATGATTGTTGCATTTTGATTTATAATATAAAAGCTGTAAGGGAAAAGAGTTTTCCTATATTAACGCATAATAGTATTAGGGTCTTTTAATTAAAATTTTATTAAATTTATTTTAAAACAAAGTTTAACTCCGTTCAATCAGTTTGATTTCTAAAAATATTTTCACTTGAATTTTAATATAAAAATAGTTTCTTATTAAAAAAACTAAATTCCTGTAAATTGCATAACTGCGTTGAAATTATTGCAAATCAAATACACGTTATGATTCTGACATAGAAAAGTACAAAAATAAATTTTCTTGTTATTTACTTTTCTTATTGTAAAATATCCTTTGTAAAAATTTTTCAATTGACATTTATGTTGGCGTTTAGGAATAAAACACTATTTGTATACGGTCTTGTCCTCTGGGAAATTTTAAAAAGGCGTTAAGAAACAGATAAAAAGATTACTTCTTTGAGATATTAAAATTTTTGAGACGAAATAAAATACGAAAAAGGAATGAATTATACAAAGCAGCAGAAAAACATAAAATAAGTAGAGACATGTTTTATTTTTTTCGTTCTTCTTGTCACAATTGTAAATGTCAACAAAACGATTACAGCGACTATGACGGAAAAATTTTTAATGTTTTTTTTTTTATTCTCCTTTTCACTTATATGTTTAAGGGAAAATTGTAATTCAATATAATGAAAAAGGTGTCAACAGCAGTAGAAATTTTTTTTTCATTTACCAAAGTTTATCGTTTTTGTTGTTTATTTTCCCTATACAACTTGACTTATGGGTCAGAATTAAAAAAAAAAAATTTCTTTGAATTGGTATATTTTTTTTTACCAGAATCAACAAAACAGCAGAATTGAGAATGGTGTTGAAAGCAAACCAAAAAAAAAACGAAAAAACGATTGGTTGGACAAACGAAATGTGCAGTAAGGCTAGAATTCTTTTATATTTTGGGTAAAAAAGAAATTACAAAAAATTATTTTTAATAAAATCTATGAACAACCGCAAACATTTTTATTTTTTAATAAAACAGAAAATTGTTAAATTTTGCAATAAGAAATACGAGATAAGCTTAATAATTAACAAATTCGAAATTTTCAAATCTCTTTTATACAATAAAATAACAATCAAAATAATTTTATTAAAATTTGTCAAAAAGAATTTTTCTTTTATTTCATTATAAAAAGTTAATTAAAAAATTTTAAGTACTCCTATTCAATATTTTCCTTAGAGAAATTACATTTTCAGATTTTGTTGAGAAAAGGATCCTCTTGCGTTAAAAACATGATTAATTATTATACTTGCAGTTTGAGAATTTTATTTAATATTAAAAAACAATTTTTTGTTTTATAAGAAATTAAAATTTGCAAGACTTGAGTACTAGAACACGGAAAATTTAAGTATTAAAAATTTTTATCAGCTTGCTTAATGTTTTTAATTTTAGGAAGAGAGAGAAATCTGCCTGGCAAGTCATCCCACGCCAATTCACAGGGCCAACAAGAAGTCCCACCGGTAATCAATAACCTAAACGTTTGACAATTCAACGTTCAATAACCATTCCGAAGAAAATAAGAACTTTCCAAATGACTTATAAAAGTGAAGGAAATAAATAAATTTTTTTCACGAGCCAGAAAGGTTGTGCCAAGGGTATCCCTTCAACTTTTCGAAAAAAAACAAGGTTCTCAAAAAGAGTTTCCTCTTCAAAATCAGGACTGGTAGGCATAGAGAATATTCTCCCCGTCCTCTATCTTGCAATATTCTAATATCCTTGGTAGATATGTGTTGTACTGATTCCCAATCTATTGGCCATCCCTCCTACGATTCAGTGTCCCCAAGACTCCTTGTAATTGCGGAACAATATTTTTTGATTTAAAAAAATCTCGATTCCATCAAATTTGGTTGTTGAATAATATTTTCAATTTGAATTAATAATCAATTTTGGATACAATGGAATCCGTTTCAATTTTCTTTATTGTTGTAATTGCTACAATAATTGCTTCTCTAAATTTCCTATATAAAATTTCCAATCTGTACTACGCAGAATTAAATATTAAAATTGTTATACTATGCTGTCATTTAATTTATTGGAACGCTATCAATATTTTCTTAGCGTTGAAGTTTTTAACTCTATATAATTATTATTATTATTAGAGTTATAATAACAATTTAATCATAGACTATGTACAAATCTATATTGCTTTTCGGCTATATTATAATTAATGAAATATTTTTTTTAAAGTATATAACAAAATATTTTTAATTAATGTTGTTCTATTTCTTATTAGGGTTAATAGACTTCTTATTAAAAAAAAATTTTTTTTTGTTTAATGTCTTACCTCAATAAGAATCCTAGTTATTTATTTTTTTTGTAAACATATTTTGTATATATACTAGGGTATACAATACTTGGTAGTAGATGGTTATTGTTATATAAGAATATAATTAATATTATTACACTTAATTTGTACGTTATGGAAGAAGAGAACAAGAAAGCAGGCTGAATATAAATTCATAATATAAATTGCAAAAATTAGATTATTTCTTTGTCACATTTTAAAATGAATTTTATTTTTTTTAGTAAGCAGAAGTTGTTCTACTTTTATATTTAGTTCAGTTATTTATTATACCATTAATAAAATCAACATAATGTTATAATTCATTTTAAAGTTGATAAAATATAAAGTAGGTTTAATTTCATTTTATGCACATAATTTGAGAAAGTAAATTTTATTCATAATGAAAATGAAATTTGATATTAAAATTTTTAGTGATCTTATAGAAACATTTTCAAAACTAAATTTTGAATAATTTTGTATAATACTTTAATGAATTTTAAACAATATTCAGCCATTCAAATAGAAAGAATAAAATTTTTAAAGCATTGAATAATTTACACTTTTGTTAATTATACGATTAAAATTATTTGACACAGAACAAAATGATAATAACGTTTTCAGAGTAGTTTTAGAAAACACAAAATCTCATATATAGTAGTTTGCATTTTAAAAGGAAATGTCATAAGCATTCGTAATCCTTGCATTTTGTATTTCAAAAGACAAAAAATCTAAATGGAAAATTAAAGTGTATAAACGCGTTTTTTTCATTTTTTTATTTCAATTTATATTTTGCTTTTAAAAACATTTTTCCATTTTCTTTTACAATTTCTTTAAAAAATCTATTTGTATGTATAGTGTAATATTATCAGTTTTGTGGTTCGACGCTTTTTTTCCTTTGACATCACCATTTTTCAATTCAATATAAAGTTTTTCTTTTATTCTTTTGACGCAAAACATATTATACAAAATAATAAAAATGAAAATGAAAAAATTCAAAAAATAAAATTTCGTATTTACTTTTCTTCATCATAGAGTTCATTTTTTTCTCTCTCTCTCTCTTTCTCACTTGAATTTTTAACTTCATTTGTAGATGATTTTATGATGTATTTTAAGGGAGAACAGAGCATAAAATTTTAACAGGAAAAATTTTTAAAGTTTTTCTTATAATCTTATTACAATTTTTGAAAAAATGAAATAACACGTTTAGATGCCGCGCATATACCTGTTCACATTTTTACCTTTTTACACTGAATTTATCAAAAGAGAGATTAAATATAAAATAAGAATATTAATTTTGCAATAAAAATAGCAAAAAAAGAAAAAGTGGAAAACTGATGTAATCAGCTTACAAAATAATACACAAGATATTTGATTATGAGAAAAGAAAATTTTTCGTGATAATGTGAAAAGAAAAAACAAAACTAAATTGAATTC